ATGAAACTTTGGCTGAAATATCAACAATTTCAGCTTCAAGATGATTTATGAAAATAAATATTGCTGCATTTCTTTATTTGCAAAGGAGGTTATTGTGGCAATTTCAGCAACAGGACAGGGGTGCAGGAAATTTGACACAAATGCATGAAGTTTATTGTTTCCCCATTAGCTTTTTAGAAACTTGACTACTATTCTTCCTGGGAATCTTCTTAAAAGTCAGGCAGACGATTCTACGTATGCGTTCCACCTTGAAAAAACAAGAGCAGCTGAGCTCCAGTCCAAAGGAAGCAGCACCCATAGCCAAAAGTTGCACGTGGCATATGTCAGTTAAAAAACGGCATATGCCTGTTGGGAACTGGCTTATGTTGGTTCCCAACTGGTATATGCCATTTTTCAAAAAAGGTTTTTGAAAAACCGTCATCTCACACTGCAAAAAATAAAATCTAAATAAGTCATTTTTTTCTTAAAATGAGTGCATTTTTTCTTGAATTAAGGATTGAAGTGAGACACTTTGCAAATGGAACAACACAATTTACACTTTAAACAAGAAAAAAACAATTGCATTGTCTTATTTCAAATGCATAATATCTAGATAGCTTACTTTAAGAGTAAAAATACTAATTCCATTTGCAAATCATCTTATTTACCTGCTCAAATTAAGGGTAAATACCCTTAATTTAAGACATTTTTACCCATTTTGAGATCATTTTTGCAGTGCAGATACCACTTTTGGCTCTCGCTGTCAAAGGCAGTTGTATTCTGTGCTTACTGAAGTCTAGATTGGTGTCTCTTTACTGCACCAAAACATACTAAACACTTTCAAAGCATAAAAATGGGAGGACAATACCGTATCATAACCCAAGAAACTAGGAATAAAAAAGAAAATAACACTCAGTACCCTTCACTGCTACACATGGATTCACTTTAGTTAAATTTACTGTATTCAAATAAATTGTTCACATCGAATTTCTTCTCAAGGATTTTTCAAAGAGAGACAGATCAACTTAACATAGAAATACCTGACCAAGTCAATCAGGTCATAAAGCCAGACCAGGGGATCATCCGTCATCAGGAGTAATGGGATGTGGCCAAGGCTCTCGTCTTGATCGATCAAGAGTCCCTAAAAGGCATTACCACAGACAAGGTTTGAGTTGCACCTGATTCTCTAAATCAGGGGTCTTCAACGTTTTCCAGGCCAAGGACCTCCAAACTGATGGCGAGATGGAGC